CCTGTCTGGGCTGGCTGACAAAGATGCGTGGGGGTGGGGCCAGTGGAAGCAGGGCTGGCCGGAGGGCGGGGGCAGCAGGGCTTGCCAGGGGAGATCGGGAGAGAATTGGCTGGCGGGGACAGCGGGGCTGGCCTGGGGGGAGGGAGAGTGCATAAGAGAGAGAAGGTGGAGGGAGAAGGGGGAGAGAATCGGCCAGCGGGAAGCAGGACAGTTCAGGGCGCACACAGATCCTGAATAAAAATGTAAAAGCAGTGCCTTTTACATATCCCCACTGCTGACAGTGAGGTTTAAAGGCACTACAATGTGTCAGAATGGAGAGAACTTGGTGCATTCACCATCTGGAATGAGAATATGGATAAAAAATTCCAAAGATGGTGTTGGCTTTCTGAAAATAAATGAGCCCCTTTTCAATATACGATGTGGTGGTGCAGGGTTTTATTGGATTACAGTCCATTTTTCCAATCTATATTCCCTTAACTTCCTGGTAAGAATGTTGTGGGTAGCTGTAGCAAAAGCTTTGCTAAAGCTGGCCCTGAGGGCTTTGGGAGGACCAAAACCAATGTATTTTCATATTTGTCATTTACTTAATGAATATGCAAATGAATGTTATCTGTCCTCCGAAAGCTCATAAATGGATTTACTGGTCCCCATGTCAAAGTTTGGGAACCCCTGCTCTGAAGCAGTGGTCCTCAAACTTTTTGGCCTGTGATCCACCCTGCTCAATGCAGACCTTTCTGCGGACCACCAGCCCATCACCCATGATGACAAAATGGGTGCAGGAGGAGCTGGGGTCTGGCCAGGAGGGAGGGTGCAGGTGAGGTTTGGGGGAGAGGGAGGTCTGGGTACGAGAGGGATGGGGGCCCTCCCCCTCCTGCCATTCCTATTGGCTGTGATTCTGGCCAATGGGAGCAGCAGGGAAAGCCTCCAGGTAAGTAGTTTTCTGCTTCACCACTTTCCCCAGTTGGGGGGGAGTGGCAGTGCAAAGCCCCTTTCTGCCTATGTAAACCAAATCTGATCTGCCAGGCTCGTTTTTTCTCTTCCCCCCCCCCCCTTGCAGGAAGTCGGCACTGGTACTCCATCCTCATGATGGGGGAGGGGACTGGAGCACCAGCACAGGCTCCCCATTGCAAGGGGGTGGAGGGGAGAGCTCCTAGCTTGCGGCCCACCTGCAAAATGGTAGTGGACCAGTAGTGGTCCTCAGGCCACCCTTTGAGGGAATGTCTACACTTGCACCCTCTTTCAAGAGAGGGATGCAAATGAAGACATTTTAAATAGCAAATGAAGTCCGGATTTAAATATCTTGTGCTTCATTTGCATTATGGTGCTATTTTGAAATAGAGCCATATTTGGAAATAACAGATGTTGTTCAGATGCGGTTATTTTGAGAGAAGGGTTTTCTTTTGAAATAACCTGGTCTTAGCAGCATCTTATTTCGAAATAGTGCTATTTTGAAATAGTGCCATAACATGAATATGCAAATGCAGCGCAGGATACTTAAATCCCAGCTTCATTTGCTGTTTCAAATGTCTTCATTGGCAAATAGTGCCATAACATGAATATGCAAATGCAGCGCAGGATACTTAAATCCCGGCTTCATTTGCCGTTTCAAATGTCTTCATTGGCCTCTCTCTTGAAAGAGGGTGCAAGTGTAGACCTACCCTGAGACATACTGCTCTAAAGGAGTATTCCCGCTGCTGTCCAGGGGAGTAGGTCACAGTGAAGAGGCTGGTTTTTGTTCCTAGACTTGCAAGATGTGTATTTTCTTATTTTCATCCATCCTGCTCATAGGCGATTTCTTCAATTTGTTTTAGGTACCCAGCACTACTAGTACTAGATACTACCATGTGGCCTTTCAACAGCTCCAAGAGTTTTTTTCAAAAGGTGCTACCAGTCATTATAGCATACATCCAGAAACAAACCATTATCATATTTCCTTACCTTGACTGTCTCCTCAAAGTGCGCTCCGAAACCAATGCTCCCTCTTAATCACAAGGCCCATCTTTCAACATCCTGGTCTACAGATAAACGAAAGCAAGTCAAATCTGATACCCACTCAGAGAATTCAGTTTATAGGTGCTTACCTGAACTCCACATGCATATGGGTGCCTGAAGCTGCGCACTTCTACGGTGCAGGCATTGCATATGTGTGTGTCTCTCCCCCCCCGCCCCCCGCCCCAGTTCCTTCTCTACTGCATCTGGTTTCAGATGGAGCTCAGTTTTTTTCTCTACGAGTTAGTGAGTTATTCCCTCATTAGCTGATTTTTTTTTTTTTAAACTTCCCAAGTTTTTCTCCCCATAGATAGTCTTAATAAGCACCATGCCTGGCTCCCTAGGTTTTAAGGGAGTTAACTAACATTTTTTTTAAAACAGTTTTAACAAAACCCGCTGTTCTTTCTGTGAAGATCCTCTTCCTGCAATGGATGGACATGCTCAATGTACTCACTGCTTTATGTGAGGTTCACATCTCGAGAGTATGGTGTGACAGAGGCCTAC